ATCCCTACTCATACATGTGTTATGATATTTGTGATTAGTTTTTAATAAAATGATTACAAGTACTGTAATAATGCTCACTCTTACCCACCTGAACACTTCTGGTGTCAAGTGATCCCTTTCCCTAGATCTGTTATATAACTAGGCATTGTTTCATTATTAATCTAAACGTAATAGAAAATGTTGAGATAACCAGGTTTATTTTAGGCCAGTATTATGAGCACAGTATAACTAATTTGATTTTTCATTAATTTACTTTAGTTTTGTTCAAATGTTATTTTGTTCAAAATATGAATAATGTAGCATGATCATAATTAATATTTTTGTTATAATAATTCCAATACATATGCTTAGAAATACTCATATCATTTGTATGTTAAGAATATTTGATAACATATTATTTAATAAATGTCATATGATTTGGATAAAGTCTTGAACACTTAATATCCCGTACTTATTGTAATAAAAAGTTTTTAATATGGTTTAAATAATAATCTCGGTGGTCTTTTATAAGTGAATTATTCAGATGATTTATCAATAAATATTAAAAATTTATATTAAATATACTAAAATTAGAAACTTTATTCAAAAATCAAATTTTAAATTAATAAAAATACTAACTTTTCACTATTGTAACTTGGTCTTAATAATTTATAATTTTATAAATAACTTATTCAGTATATGATGCATAATAAAAATATATAATATAAAAGTCTCGCCAAAATACTTCAAACTTTACCAACTTTAACTCAATTCACAATGGAACGGTAGGGAACGGTAATACAATAAAAGTAGGGCATACTTTTTAAGTAATTTAAGATTTCTAAAACTATAAAAACTACCGTTCCCTACCGATCATTTGAGAAAGTTGGCATATCGACATTATCGTGCCAAAATAACCATAGCTGAAAAATATCTATTTTAATCTAACTAAATTCTAACCTATATTAAATTTAACAAAAAGAGTTTGAAGTATTTTGGAGAAACTTTTATGTTAAGTATTAAAAGTTAGTGCAAAATAAGTTTAATTTAGTTTCTTATCAAAATTATGATAACAATTCACATAAACTAATGCTAAGCAATAATCAGTCATTTGTTTGTCTTAATAATACAGTTATGAATGTGTTTTATGTGATAGTTGCAAAAATTACTTAAATAAAGTTGATATACTTTAGTGCAATAAAAGCATAACTATTTAACAATAAATTTAACAAGTATATTTACTGGAACAATAAAGTTTAATTATTTCTCCATTTTGTGAAACAATTATTGTTTAACTTTTTGTATTAATTATTTCTTATTATAAATTAATAATATTATATATAGATACTCAGTTATGTTTTTGGGAATCTATACCAGTATCTTAACTTTAAAACTAATTTTATAATTCAAAATTTTATAAGTTATTAATAAAGATAATAATAATACATCATCTTCAATAATATTAACAACTACCAGTAGTTTATGCCATAAATCAATACGACAAGAATTTTGTGAACAAAAGTCATTAATATTCGTTTAATATTTCATATTATAATGTCTTCCGATATAAATAATTATAAAATTTGTGATCAAATACTACCACATTTAAAACAAGAAATTAAATATTTTTATGTTTTCAGAAGCCATAACATACTGTTTGTGACATTTGATGATATGGTGTATGGATTGGGATTTAATAGTGCGGGTCAGCTCGGGTTAGGACACAACACACCCATTCATACACTACAACCAGTGCCTGAATTATGCCATCAAAATATACATCAGTTTATGAATGGAGAAGACTTTGTATTGGCTGTCAATACGGATAATAATGTAATATTCAGTTTCGGTCGCAATTGTTGTGGACAATTGGGACGGAATGTGGATAGGTATTATGGTGTATACTATAAACCGGATACTATATTACATTTCAATCATTATATCCAATCAAACAGTTTAGTTATTTCACAAATAAGTTGTGGTAAGAGTCACACAATTGTGTTGACATCAAATGGACGGGTATTCGGGTGGGGGTGTAATGACAAGGGACAGGTTGGTTGTGGTGAAAAAGTGTTCAATTATGTCCAACTCATATTAAATTTGCCATTAAATCCCAAATTAGTAAAATTGATTGCAATGAAAGTACATCACTTGCTATAACCTGTGAAGGACAGGTGCTTATATGGGGTGTGGTAGATGGTAAGGATATAAACACACCATATTTATTGGAAAATGCAATTGATATACACAGTGCACTTTTAATAACTTATACAAATAGAGATGTATATTTGTTGTCAAGTGATAGTCACTTAAATCTGTATGATTTTGATAACAACTGTATGAAAATATTATCTCCTCTTGTGTTCAATGAATTAAACAAAGAATATAAATCAATAATTGTGGGCAAATCTGGTGATAAAATATATATAATTATTAACCGAGATCTGTTTGAAACCAATTATACATCATTTGATGATTACTATTCACATGAATTACAAATCACTTTAAATACCATTTCAACACATATTCAACAAAATACTGATATTTGTGGTAAATATTACAATAATGTATATACAGTTATGCTGACCAAATACTTTGGACCAAACCTTGATTTTTACTTTAAAAATTTACAAAATTCCTTGACAATTCCTTGACAGTTTTTTTATTGCAAAAACACTGCTAATTATTTAAGAAAATAATATTTTCACTATTTTTAATCAAGATTTTAGACGTTTTATTAATTTTTAATTAATAGCAGTAATCCTTTCGTATTTAATTGTGTACTTAACTGAACAGTATTAACACATTGTTGTGAACTCATCATTTGTCAGTAAATTAACATTGAATTGTGTCCATTGAATCGATTAGATCTAGACTTCTTAAGACTTTGTGACACTCGATGCAATTATTATTATTTGAAATATTTATTCACATGGAATTTGTTAACATATTTAAATTACATTTTTTGTATGAAATGAAAAACAGTTTTGTTTAAAATGATTGATTGAATTTTAAATTTGTTGGAAAACTTATTATTTTATAGATATTTTCTATTGATTTTAGTGATATGTACTCAAGTAATACAAAATATTTGTTTTCCAATTTTGATTTGAAAATATAGATTAAGCACTAAATAAAAATATCAGTAATTTCCCGTAAATAACTCTATATTTTAAAATATTTCAACTCCGCCTTGAACCTTGACAGCTACGCTCATTCCTTGACAATCAAGGTGAAACCTTGACGTTTGGTCAATGTATATACAGTATTAATAATTAATATTATTGTCGCATATCTGCTGTATTTACATTAAATTGATTATAAATATTGTTTTATTATAGAAACTAACGATAAATTGATTAATTCAATATCATTTGAAAAGTCATTTGATGTAATAAATAAGCTTGGTGAGGGTGGTTATGGACAGGTATATAAAGTTCAAAATAAATGTAACCGTAAATTCTATGCAATAAAGAAATGCCAATTAAATGGTAAATATTTTGTATTTTAATTTATATTAAAAAGTTATATATAATATTTTCAATATTTGTATTTTTCTAAAGAATTGACGGAAAAGGAGAAACAAAATGTTTTGAATGAAACGCAAAGTCTTAAGAAGTCTAGATCTAATCGATTCAATGGACACAATTCAATGTTAATTTACTGACAAATGATGAGTTCACAACAATGTGTTAATACTGTTCAGTTAAGTACACAATTAAATACGAAAG